AAATTTTATGTATTATTATAATATAGTAAAAATGATAGAGTTTAAAAATAATGTAGAATGTGAGAAGTTTAAGAAGGAAAAAAAAGTTAAAAAAGGTATATATATATATATATATATATATATATATATATATAAATGTAATTGGATTAAATTTACTATCCCCACATATATTATTATACATTATTAGCATAATTTTAGTTTAATTAAAAATTAGAATACAAATATAATATACTATACTAATATACCATTATATTATTTTCATTGTATATAAATTACAAAACTAATAATTTTTAAAAATTTTAATGATAATTTTTTTAACTTATATATTAGAAAATATTTTTAATACTTTAATAAATATAACTTTTTTTAAATATTTTCATTAATTTAAAGTATAACTTTTAATATTTTTTTAGTATTTTTTTAAATGTGGATATCTTTAATATTTTGGACATATAAATATAATTTATACATGTTTTTAAACCTTTTTCTAATATTTGTTTTTAAAAATATAATATCATTCTTAATATTTTATAGATTTTATATTTATATATTTATAAAAGTAATTGGATTAAATTTATTATCCCCTCATATATTATTATACATTATTAGCGTAATTTTAGTTTAATTAAAAATTAAAATACAAATATACTATACTATACTAATATACAATTATATTATTTTCATTGTATATAAATTACAAAATTAATAATTTGTATACTATACTATATTAATATATTATTTGTATACTATACTAATAGTATAATATACTATATTATAATATTATTTGTATACAAAACTAATATCTTTATATCTTTATATATAAATATATAAATATGGAAAGATATAAATATATGTAAAAATATAAAGATATAAATATATGCAAAAATATAAAGATATAAATATATATCTTTATATATAAATATATTAATATATAAAGATGTAAATATATATAAATATATAGAGATATAAAGATATTAATATACTATATTATAATATTATTTGTATACAAAACTAATATCTTTATATATAAATATATGTAAAAATATAAAGATATAAATATATGCAAAAATATAAATATATAAATATATAAATATATAAAGATATAATTTTTTAATATATATTTGAGAAATTACTCAATTATAATCTATTATTTGAAAAACTAATCAATTCTAATCAATTATTTAAAAAACTAATCGATTATAATTAATTATTTGAAAAAATTATCGAATATAATCGATTATTTGAAATTTTAATCGATCATAAAGAAATTGACCCGAGACTTTAGATAGCGGTTCTAAAACTAACCGCTATTAAATATATAGTTTAGATAGCGGTTAACGTGGAACCGCTTATCATATGGTCACTTTTAAGAGCGTGGAACCACTATCATATATATATGTCACTTTTAAGAGCGGTTAACATTTTAACCGCTCTTACAAGTGAACATATAATAACGGTTCCATGTTAACCGCTATCTAAAATATATTTTAGATAGCGGTTAACTTGAACCGCTGTATATATTTTCAAATATAATCGATTATTTGAAAATTTAATCGATCATAATAAAATATGTGGTGAGCTATGATAGCGGTTCAGATGGAACCGCTCTTAAAAGTTAATATATAATAGCGGTTAGTTCTAAAACCGCTATCTAAAGTGTCGGGTCAATTTCTTTATGATCGATTAAATTTTCAAATAATCGATTATATTCGATAATTTTTTCAAATTATTAATTATAATCGATTAATTTTTTAAATAATTGATTAGAATTGATTAGTTTTTCAAATAATAGATTACAATTGATTAATTTCTCAAATATATATTAAAAAATTATAAATAAAAATATATATTAAATTAAAATTAAAAAAATTATTTATCAATTATATATTATAAAAATTATAATTATATAATTAAAAAATTATATTTATAATTATAACTTTAAAAAAAATTATAACTATAAAATTAATGTTAAATAAATTATATATATTATATAAATTATAATTATATATAGATATATTACTTAAATTAAAAACTTTAAATTATATATATATATATATATATATATATATATATAAATTATAATTATATAATTAAAAAAATCATATTTATAATTATAACTTTTAAAAAAATTATAACTATAAAATTAATGTTAAATAAATTATATATATTATATAAATTATAATTATATATAGATATATTACTTAAATTAAAAACTTTAAATTATATATATATATATATATATATATTTAGCATAAATTAGAATAATAATTATCAACTTGAAAATAATTTATATTTAATATATATATATATATATATATATATATATATATATATTCTAAAATATAATTTATTTTAATTTCTATAATATATATATATAAATGAAAATAAGTTATATTTTGAAATATATATTTTATATTATAGTAATTAATATAAATTATATTTTAGAATATATATATATATATATATATATATATATATATATATAATTTTACATCAAAATATTATTTCTTCTTGTATACATATAATTTTTAAGATTTTTATTATCATCCTAATTTATTATTAATTTCTAAAAAAATTATAATATCAAATAAATCAAAAATTTTAAAAAAGTTTAATCATACAAATAAATTTAAATTTAATATTTAATAATATATTTTAAAAATATTATTTTACTATTTTCAACAATAAATCTAAATATATTATTAATTTTAGAAATATACAAATCTTTTTAAATACCTAATTTAAAACTATAAATGTTAAATAAAATAATATATATATATATATATATATATATATATATATTAGTTAATTTTTTTAACAAAATAAAAAGAAAACTATTCAGAATTCGGTTGTCAGAAAATCGAATTCTAAATTGTTTGAAAAAATTATAAAATATAAATACGTTTAGGTTTCGTATTCGAAAAATCGAATTCTCAACTTAACAAAAAACTGTGCTATCTAGGTAAATAAAACCTACAGTAATGCTATTTGAGTAATTAAAAAATGAATACGTACTATCAGTAGAAAAAAATCACTAATATACCATTATATTATTATTTTCATTGTATATAAATTACAAAATTAATAATTTGTATACTATACTAATATATTATTTGTATACTATACTAATAGTATAATATACTATATTATAATATTATTTGTATACAAAACTAATATCTTTATATCTTTATATATAAATATATAAATATGGAAAGATATAAATATATGTAAAAATATAAAGATATAATATAAATATATGTAAAAATATAAAGATATAAATATATAAATATGTAAAGATATAAATATATATCTTTAATATTTTGTAGATGTAAATATAATTTATATATATTTTTAAACCTTTTTCTAATGTTATTTTTTAAAAATAAAATATTATTTTAAAATTTAATATTTAAATTATTAATTTTTTCGTAAATATATAAATATATAAAGATATAAATAAATATATAAATATATTAATAGATTAATATATAAATATGTAAATATATAAATATATAAATATGTAAATATATAAATATGTTAATATGTTAATATATCAATATATCAATATTTAAATATATATTAAAATATATAAATATATTTGTATTTATAGGTTTTATAAATATATAAAGATATAAATATAAATATAAAATATATATATATATATATATATATATAAAGATATAAATATATAAATATATAAAGATATAAAGATATAAATATATGGAAAGATTTAAAGATATAAATATATGTAAAGATATAAAGATATAAAATATATGGAAAGATATAAATATATAAATATATGTAAAGATATAAAGATATAAATATATAAATATATAAATATATAAATATGTAAAGATATAAATATATATCTTTAATATTTTGTACATGTAAATATAATTTATATATATTTTTAAATCTTTTTCTAATATTTATTTTTAAAAATATAATATTATTTTTAAAATTTAATATTTAAATTTTTATTTTTTTTCAAATATATAAAGATATAAATGTATAAGGATATAAATAAATATATAAATATATCAAAATATAAATATTTAAATATATTAATATATAAATATATATATATATATATATATATATATATATCAATATTATCCCCTTATATATTATTATACATTATTAGCGTAATTTTAGTTTAATTAAAAATTAGAATACAAATATATTATATTATATTAATATACCATTAAGTTATAATATTTGTAATTTATTTTTATTGTGTATAAATTACAAAACTAATAATTTTTAAAAAATTTAATGATAATTTTTTTAATTTATATATTACAAAATATTTTTTAATACTTTAATAAATATAACTTTTTTAAAATATTTTCATCAATTTAAAGTATAATTTTTAATATTTTTTTAGTATTTTTTTAAATGTGGATATCTTTAATATTTTGGACATATAAATATAATTTATATATGTTTTTAAACCTTTTTCTAATATTTGTTTTTAAAAATATAATATCATTTTTAATATTTTATAGATTTTATATTTATATATTTATAAAAGTAATTGGATTAAATTTATTATCCCCTCATATGTTATTATACATTATTAGCATAATTTTAATTTAATTAAAAATTAGAATACAAATATACTATACTATACTAATATACCATTATATTATTTTCATTGTATATAAATTACAAAATTAATAATTTGTATACTATACTATACTAATATATAATTTGTATACTATACTAATAGTATAATATACTATATTATAATATTATTTGTATACAAAACTAATATCTTTATATATAAATATATAAATATGGAAAGATATAAATATATGTAAAAATATAAAGATATAAATATATCAATATTTAAATATATCAATGTATAAATATATCAATATTTAAATATATATTAAAATATATAAATATATTTTTATTTATACATTTTATATTTATATATTTATACTGGATATACATTTGTATATAAATATAATTTATTTGTAAGTTATTATTAAAAAATCCTAGTAGCTCAGTGGTTGGAGTTTCAGTCTCCAACTCTTAAGGTACCTGGTTCGAATCTCGACAATGACAATAAATATAGTAATAAGTTAAACTTCTAAAAAATATAATATAATTAAGAGTTACTGGAAATAAATATAAATAAAAACTTAAATAAGTAAAAATATAATATAAAAAGAGGTAGGGGAGATAAATAATAAATATAATTAAAAATGTAAATAAATAAAAATAATTAACTTTGTTACTGATTTAGCGACCGATTTAAATCGGTCGCTATTTTTTTACTTTGTTATCGATTTAGCGATCGATTTAAATCGATCGCTATTTTTTTAACTTTGTCATTGATTTAGCAACCGATCTAAATCGATCGCTATTTTTTTAACTTTGTCACCGATTTAGCGACCAATTGGATATATTAATTTCGGTCGCTATTTTGCGACCGAAATGAAAATCGGTCGCTAACATATTAGCGACTTGGCTTTTTGCGACGACGCTTTTTGGTCGCTAATTTCGGTCGCTAACTGATTAGTGACCGATTTTTTGACATTAGCGACCGATTTTTTCGATCGCTAAAATGAATTTTTCTTGTAGTGTAATTTTATGAACCCTAAGTGGAGAATAATCTCCAATTTTCGTGAACCCTAAAATTTAAATTTGTGGGTAATATCCTCAATCTGATTCTGCTCGCTGATGGAACCGTGGAGGAAGCTATGGATTCTTCTTTTTCTTCGTTTTTCCCTTTTGTTTCAGTTTAAGTTTCAAGTTTTACTGAGAAAGAAATAGTGTTTTAAATTTCAATCTTTCTTGTATTGGATTCTCTGTTCTCTTTGAATCTTTTGTTGTTGTTTTTATTTAATTTTCTGGGTTTTGTTTTTGTTTTCTTTTCATTCTGGATATGGATGAGTTTGGAATTGGGGGTGGTGTTTGAGGAGTTCCCAACACAGAGGATCTTAGGCATCTGGTGAATGTTTCCACAGATGTGGCTGTTATTATTTTATTGCCTTTATCCTCTGGGGATTTTAAGGGAAGTTGATGTTAAATTCCCTGTTTATGGTTTGAGTGATTACTGTTTAATCCCCTTTTAGGGTTTAGAGCAGTGTGTTAAAGAGGGTCATAACTATCTCTATTTCATCCCTAGTGTGATTCTAGGGAAGTGTTCATCCTTTGTGTATTGGTGAAAAAGGAGGTGTTTTTCATCCTTTTATTTGTTCAAAAGAGGTGTTCATCCCTAGTGAGATTATAGAGAGGTTTTCATCCTTAGTAAGATTCTAATGAGGTGATTATCTTTTGAATTAGTTTGCAAATATTAAATATTTGGTTTTGTTATATAAATAAAATATTCAATTTTTTGGTAGTTTAATATTTTTTGTGAGCAAATTGAGTCAACAAGTCACCAAAATAACCTCTCTTGAATTGGGCAGTTCATAAAAAATATTAAATGTTAGTGTTTGTGTATATTCATGCGAGTATTAGTCGGCCCAAAGGAAGATTAATATTTGGCTGAATTGCATACATACTTGTAATGATAAACATGTGATAATTATAAGGATTTGTTTTGTCGATGATAAATCAATCCAAAGACTGGTTTGTTGTTGGATGTGCTTTATTGTCAATGTTTGATTATTACAACAAGATACATCTAGCGGTTAATATTACTGTCCAAAGACTTGATATTGATGGTGCATTGGGTGTCTTGAGATGGGTTAAACCATTATTTGAATATATATTTATAATTATTTATTTTTTATATAATGTGAGCATAATTAGTTTATTTCTCGTGTTCAAAATTCAGCTACAATTGCTTCTGTATCTACCAATTTAAATTTTGTTCCAATCCTCAAAAGTATGTTTCCTACTTTGGTCTGTTCTGTAGTCAATTTAGCGTCAGTACCTAGTAACACTTGGTGGTTAGACTCAGGTGCAACTACTAACATTAGTATTTCTATGAAGGGTTGTCTAAGCTACCGGAAGCCAATTGATTCTAAAAAAAAATAATAACAATGGATATATGTTGGAGATGACAAATCGGTAGAGGTGGAAGCTATAGGGCATTTTAAATTGTTATTGAGTATTGGTTTTTATTTGGATTTGAAAGACACTTTTGTTGTGCCGTCATTTAGGCAGAATTTGATTTCAGTTTCTTATTTGGACAAATTAGGTTATTTGTGTTCATTTGGAAACAATAAGTTCAGTTTGTCTTTTAATTCAAATATTTTTGGAATTGGTTCACTTTTGACTTATTATAATCAGTATATACTTGATATTGTTGTCACCTATAATGAAACCCTTAATACAGAATCACGTGGTACTAAACGTAAAATTGAAAATACTCACTCAGATGCATTATAGCACAAATGCTCAGGTCACAATCAAATCATGGCGCTTGAGCTTGTGTTACACTCTTAAAGATATGGTAAGAAGTATAATTTGTCATTCCACCTTACCAGAATCACTCTGGGGAGAGACACTAAAGATTGCAGCTTATATTATAAACAGAGTACCAATTAAAGCAGCTACCAAAACACCTTATGAGCTTTGGACTGGGCAAAAGCCTAGTCTTAAGCATTTCCATTTGTGGGATTGTCCAGCTGAGACAAGGCCTTATAAGCCAAATGAAAATAAATTGGACTCCCGAACAGTAAGTAGTTATTTTATTGGTTATGCTGAAATATTCAGGGGATATAAATTTTATGATCCCACATTAAAGACAATTTTTGAGACGGGAACTGCTAGGTTCTTTGAGGATATTGAGTTTGGGGGGAAGAATAAAATTAAGAATTTTATCTTGGAGGAAGAATCGGTAACAATTTCAGAACCGATTCAAATAGTTACTTTTGATAAAGTAAGTTCGGAACCTCCACAAGGCATTGTTGATGAACCCCTTACTCAAGATGATTTGATTGTTCATGAAGAACAAACTCAAGATCTCAAGAACCTGTGCATCATGAGCCAATAACTTTGCGGAGATCCACTAGAGAAAGAAGAAGTGTTATTTCGGATGATTACATGGTATTTCTTTAGGAACATGAGGAAAACAATGATATAATGGAAAATGACCTAGTTAACTTTCGTCAAGCTATGCAAGGTTCTAACTCTCAAAAGTGGATTGAAGCAATGAAGAAGGAGTATAAGTCCATGCAAGACAATAAGGTTTGGGAACTTGTCCCATTACCAGAAGGTATGAAACTCATTGGTTGCAAGTGGATATTTAAGACCAAACGGGATTCTAAAGGTAATGTGGAAAGGTATAAGGCTCGTCTGGTAGCTAAGGGTTATATCATAAAGGAAGGGATTGACTATAAAGTCTCTTTCTCTCCAGTTTCATCGAAAGACTCTTTTAGGACAATCATGACTCTTGTAGTACATTATGATTTGGAGATTCATCAAATGGATGTCAATACAACTTTTCTCAATGGCAACATTGATAAGACAATTTATATGGTACAACTAGAAAATTTTGTGTAGGGAGATTCAAAGAAAATGGTTTGCAAACTGACAAAATCCATTTATGGACTAAAATAAGCATCTAGTCAATGGTACTACAAATTTCATCAAGTAATTCTCTCATTTGGCTTCAAGATGAATATTGTTGATGATTGTGTGTATCATAAGTTTAAAGGGGGACAAGTTTAGTCTCAATCAGTGCCCAAAGGGGAATTTGGAAATTAAGGAAATGCAAAATATTCCCTATGCATCATCTGTAGGGAGTTTGATGTATGCCCAAGTATGTACGCGTCTAGACATAGAATACATAGTTGAGGTTCTAGGCAGATATTTAAGCAATCCAGGAATGGACCATTGGAAAGCAGTAAAAAGGGTCATGAGATATTTAAAGAGAACAAAAAATTATATGCTCAAATACAGGAGGTCAAACCAGTTTGAGATCGCTGGGTTTTCTGACTTGGACTTTGTAGGATGTCAAGATAGTTTGAAGTCCACTTCAGGTTACATTTTCATGTTGCTAGATGGTGCGGTTTCTTGGCACATTATCAAGCAAACCCTTACAGTTTCATCCACTATGACAACAGAATTTGTAGCATGCTATGAGACATCATATCATGAAATATGGCTGAAAAATTTTGTCACAGGGCTGCAAATTGTGAAAGATATTGAAAGACCATTTAAGTTATATTGTGACAATAAATCAGCTGTATTGTTAAGGAAAGTGTACAGAGTGGACAGATTCTCATAGAACACTTAGGGACAACCTCCATGATAGCAGATCCTCTAACTAAAGGACCTCCGCCCAAGGTCTTTCATGAGCATATTGCTCACATGGGTGTTTTACAGTTTGAGGAATTTGTGGTTTAGTGAGAGTTAGTCACTTTTATATATTTTATGTTCTATGTTTAATTTCATGTATGTATACATTAATTTTTTGGACATATTTGGTTATCTATAGATATGCAATTTTTTCGTTCATTCATTACACTTTGTACATTAAGGATATTATATCGATCTCGATAAGTTAAAGTTTGGACCAGTTGAAAATAGACGTGTACAGATCACCTTCACGTAATTTTTCATTACTACAAAAAAATCGCGTATTACCGACGAATATTTACCGACGGATTTGTAACCGTCGGAAAATAATTATTACCGACGGAATTTACCGACGGATATAAAATATTTCAAGAGAGAAAATCATGAGGGAAATAAATGTGTTCTTCAGGTGGAAGACCATAAGATCAATACAGTACTCTACAAATACATCATCATTATAGTTAATTTAAGTACGCTTTCACATTTAGTTTACAGCATATTTATCAAGATTACGTTTATGTTTGATAGTTACAATCAAAATCAGGATTAATTTTTCAACGTATACTTGTTACATACGATACTTTTGTTTCTAGAAATACATATTTTCATGCATCAATAGGCAAAAAAACATGCACTTTGGAGTAATGTATCTCAGCCAGCATGGAACATCTCTTAATGAGTATCAATCACATTGGTAGTTTTTGTTAGGAAGACTTCTAATATAAAATAAATAAATTTAAGATTCATCATTTATTTCATATAGGTTCGTGATGTCACTCTTATGTATCATAATATTACTAGAATCACTT